ATAAAGGGCTCTAGAAACGATAAAGAGACAGTTTTTTTTTTTTCACAATCTAAATATCTAAGACTCTAAGCTCACTTTTTTTTTCTTTTTCAATTGGAGAGAGAGAGAGATATCGAGAGAGACAGAGATAGCAAGAGAGAGCATGAGCGGGGAGGAGAGGGAGAAGCAGGCTCCCCGCTGAGCAGGGAGCCTGTCTGCGGGGGGAGGGGCTTGATCCCAGCACTCTGGGATCATGACCTGAGCTGAAGGCAGACGCTTAACTGACTGAGCCACCCAGGCACCCCTCTAAGCTCACTTTTAACACCAAGTGGTGTTCTCTATTCCCCATTTTTTTTTTCATTTCAGAAGAAACCGAATCTTTTTTTTAAAAGATTTTATTTATTTAACACAGAGAGAGACAGAAAGAGCACACAAGCAGGGGGGAGCGGCAGAGGGAGAGGGAGAAGCAGACTCCCAGTTGGGCGCAGAGCCTGATGCGGGCTCAATCCCAGACCCCGGGATCATGACCTGAGCTGAAGGCAGATGCTTAACTGACTGAGCCACCCAGGCACCCCCAGAAGAAACCTAATCTTAATAAAAATACACTCTTCAAGGGAATCCTAAAACACTCTTTTTAAAAAGTGTCCTTGAAAATACCATGTGATTTCACTCATATGTGGAATTTAAGAAACAAACCAGCAAAAGGAAAAAAAAATCAAGAAATGGACCCTTAACTACAGAGAACTAATGGTTACCATACAGAGGTGGTGGGAGAATGGGTTAAACAGGTGAAAAGGATTAAGGAGTGCACTTGTATTGAGCACCAGGTGTTGTATGGAAGTGCTGAATCACTCTTTTGTACACCTGAAACTAATATTAAATGTATGATAACTAACTGGAAATTAAATAAAAACTTAAAAAAAAACAAAGTGTTTTTGAGTTCACCCAAATGTGTAACCAACTTATTTGCTTATTATATGCTCAAACTTCCATTATGTACAAAAGTCTTATAAAGCTTAGTTTTACTGATTCTATGATTTTCTAGGGGATGAGATAATAGAAGGTGGGTAAAGAATAACCCTCCATTAAAAATAAAAACTTCCCAAACTGGTATTAAAAATACCTGTTTCCATCATATTTTCAGAGGGAAAAATCAGTGGGGGGAGACTGCAGTTGCTAAGAAATACTATCATCCTGTGGACTCAAAGAAAACTACTATAAAGCACAGTTCGTCATACTGCAGATTCTTAAACACAAACTGGGAAAGTCCAGTTAGTAATGTAAAAGTATCTCATATTAAAACTCATTGTGGTATATATATATATTTATATATACACCACACACACAATATGGTATATGTGGTATATATATATATACTTACAATGTGGTATATGTGGTGTGTATACACACACACACACACAATGGAATATTATGCAGTCATCAAAAAAATGAAATCTTGCCATTTGCAATGACATGGATAGAACTTTACGGTATTATGCTAAGCGAAATAAGTCGATCAGAGAAAGACAACTATCATATGATCTCACTGGTATGTGGAATTTGAGAAACAAGGAAGAGGATCATAGGGGAAAAGAGGAAAAAATTGAAACAAGACAAAAACCAGAGAGGGAGACAAACCATAAGAGACTCTTAATCTCAGGAAACAAACTGAGGGTTGCTGGAGTGGTGGGGGGTGGGAGGGATGGGGTGGCTGGGTGATGGACACTGGGAAGAGTATTGTTGCGGTGAGCACTGTGTATTGTAAGACTGATGAATCACAGACCTGTACCCCTGAAACAAATCATATGTTAATAAAAAAGAGAACACTGCTTTGCAAACTACAAAAAAACAAAACAAAACTCAATGTTTCCTGTCTTATAGCAAATTAATGGACCTCAAATATTACACATAATGTTAGTTGGAAAAGAGCAACTACCAACAAAAGCAAGGCTTAAGAAACCTGGCAGAGGAACTATAAGAAAGCACTGTTTTTTTTTTTTTTAAAGATTTATTTACTTTATATATAGAGAGAATAGATGCACAAGGCGGTGGGGCTCAGGGGAGAGGGAGAGAAGCAGACTCCCCAGTGAGCAGGGAGCCTGAAGCAGGGCTTGATCCCACAACCCAGAGATCATGACCTGAGCCAAAATCAAGAGTTGGAGGTTAGCTGACTGAGCCACTGAAGTGCCCCAATAAAGCACTGGTTATTAAATGATAATCTTATATTCAGGTTGAATGTTAAAAAACAGGTTCTTTGTCAAAAATTAAAGACGCAAAAAAGAATATGGGATTTTCTGCCAAGTGCCAAATCAAATATTCACTACACACAGCAAATAGTGTCATGTGTAGTGCCATTTTCATTGGAACTCACAAAACACATTTATGAAATTCAGATTCCACCTATTATCTTATTAAAAAAACTTTTATAAGTCTTCAATAATTTATGAAAGAGATAGACCTGAGGTTACAAACTAATGACCTGGGCCAAGTTCAATTTGTGTATACATTTTGCTTGAAAAGAACATAAAAAAATTGAAGGAGAATCTTCTTAAAGTTCCAAGTCCTTAACTACGTTCTACAGTCTTGCCTGTCTAGTCCCTGAATGATTTCAAGTTTGTGAACTGTGAATTCTGGGCATTTTGAGCAAATTATATCAAAGTGATCATTATGCAGGAGCTCATTTTTGAAATTCTCAAAAAATGGTCTTTAAGCTATTTGATAAGTTGGTAAAGAAAGTTAAATTCGTATGATATCCTCCACATCTTTTTTTTGGTTGAATTTAACATTTATCTGAAGGTAGAGAGGTTGTCAGGGAAAAATAAAGTTATGGTATCGCTGCCACTTTCCTAGAGAGTAAAATGCCGTCGGTATTTTATCAAATGGTCTCACAGATCCACCTTTCTGTATGCATTCTTGTGTCCCCAATTTACTTCCACATCTATGACTTAACAGTGGAAATGAGAAATATTGCTGAGCCCTACTATTAGCTTGTGCTAGAATCATCAGTCCTAAGGTTCTAAATACTCTAAAAAAGCTTCAAAGTAGCAGTGGATTCTAAATTCTTGGGCCTTGATTACTTCTTAAGTATTGTGTAGATAGATGAGAAATGGATCTCTCCTCCTTTTGAAATCATAGCACTATTTGCAGTAAAACTCAATCTTGAGTTTTCCAGGTCTGAATTACCCTTTCACTGCTTCTGAAAGAGGCAGAAAGCAATCCAATACAAATGAGAAAACTTTAAATCTGCCACATGTGAAGACAAACTCTTTTTAATAAAGTGTGATTCTTGGCTAAAATTAACAACTCAGGAAACAACAGATGTTGGTGAGGATGCAAAGGAAGGGGAACTCTCTTACACTGTTGGTGGAAACGCAAACTGGTGCAGCCACTCTTGAAAACATATGGAGGTTCCCCAAAAAAGTTAAAAATAGAGCCACCCTATGACCCAGCAATAGTACTACTAGGTGTTATTCAAAGGATACACAGACAAGTGATTCAAAGGGGCACTGCACCCCAATGTTTATAGCAGCAATGTCCACAATAGCCAAACTGTGGAAAGAGCCAAGATGTCCATCGACAGATGACTGGATACAGAAGATGTGGTATACACATAAAATGGAATTATTAATCAGCCATCAAAATGAATGAAATCTTGCCATGAAGTGGATGGAACTAGAGGGTATTATGCTAAGCAAAATAAGCCAGTCAGAGAAAGACAAACACCATATGATTTCACTCATGTGGAATTTAAGAAATAAAACAGATGAACATAGGGGAAGGGAAGGAAAAATAAACTGAAAATGAGAGGGAGGCAAACTGTAAGAGATGCTGAACTCCAGGATACAAACTGAGGGTTGCTGAAGGGAAGGTGAATGGGGGGAAGGGGTAATTGGGTGATGGGAATTAAGGAGGGCACTTGACATAATGAGCTGCATGTTACATGCAACTGATGAATCAGTAAATTCTACCCCAGTAACTAATAATACAGTGTATGTTAACTAAATTGAATTTAAATAAAGAATTAAAGTATGATTCTTGGATTAAAAAACTGCTCATAACAACCTTTATTGTATAATCACTTTGGGTATTTTTATGAGGAGATGTGTAAACTCAATTTATAACATTCTGCTCATGGGAAACTTAAAATAACTCTAGGAACCAGTCAACTACCAATCAGCATTAACCATCAAGACTGAACTACTTGTAATAGATTAAATAAAGAATAACGATCTCTTATCCACATTTGATACTTCCCTTCAAAATAAGTTATATCCTTAAAGATACATTATAGTTTAGGCAAATTAGACATTTTGTACTTCTGTTTCAAAATTCCACATCAAATATCGTCAGTTACAGATTTTTGGAAACATTGGTAGAATCTGGGCTAGTTTCCCAATTTGAACTATATTCATGCTACTTGAATAGCATTTGCAATGAACTGGTTTTATTTTAAAAAAATCATTACACTTTAGAAGAGTAAAGAAAAAACACTATAAAATTACATTTGGGGGTTTTACCAAAATCCAAACTATTCACTGTAATTCACTGCAATATCTAATTCAACCACTGAAAAAGTAACAGAACAAAAGGGATAGAACATTTTATCTCTAAACTCAGTATAAATAACAACTTAGCATGATTCCTTTAGAAGACTACTAAAAGTATAACCCAGAAAGCTCTTGAGTTAATAGACATGTCTAGGAACTCAACTGATGGCCATTTATTTCTGGAAAACAACTGTATACAAGTTACCACACAATTTTTTTTTTTTTTTTTTTTTTACAATATTAAGAATGAATAGGCTATCTTAGTGAGGGGTCAAATTAAAAAGTTAAAAAGTTAAAATCCCATAAAAATTGATTGATCTCATTATTTCATAAGTTTTTTTTTTTTTAAAGATTTTATTTATTTATCTGACAGCGAGAGAGGGAACACAAGCAGAGGGAGTGGGAGAGGGAGAAGCAGGGCTCCCGCTGAGCAGGGAGCCTGATGTGGGGCTCGATCCCAGGACTCTGGGATCATGACCTGAGCCGAAGACAGACGCTTAACGACTGAGCCACCCAGGCGCCCCCGATCTCATTATTTCAGATCATACTCAGTTCATTCAGAATATTCTTCTCTTTAACAATCAGTGAAATTCATTACATACTAAAAATAACACCATATTTATGCACGAATAAATTCATTTTCCCAGCAAGAGCTAACCTTCCTTTAAGAAGACTTCCCACATATTCACAGTACGTAATATCACAGAACACCCATATTTGGCCTAAGTGTCTCTGAAATGTAGCATTACAAGATGGAAGTTCATTGTGCCTGATGATTTGATTGAGTTTTGCCCAAATGTCTTCCAGAGTTTGGTTGTTACAAATAGCATGCTCTATAGTCCATCTTGCTCTATAAAGTGAATGCAAATTCAGTGCCTTTAAACTATCTTGCAATTTTTTAGACAAAGGAAAAATATTTTCAGTACAATTACTGTTGGGAAGTGAAACACTCCAAAACCTCTTCTTGTGCTGTCTTCCCTTTTCTGAATGTTTATCTAGAGTTCCAGAATTAGTCTGTTCATTCAGTGAGTGTGACCGGATTAAGTGCTTCCTTTTTTTTAAATTAGGTTGAAATTCCAAAAGATCTACTGTGCAATCGTAACTCTGTGATTTAACATCACGTTCTGAAATGGTTAAGTACGGTTTCACATCTTCAGCTGCCTCTTCAGAAATCACAGGTGGTGATCTTTTAGGTTTGAGTGGAAGTTTGGACCCATCATGCAAACACCAAGGAATAAATCTCGATAGCGGACGTGTAGGAAAGTCTTGAATTGCTTTCTCTGCGATTTTTGGCAGTTGTGTGGGATCATTCTCATATGGTCGATAATGTAATATTACTTCTGTAGTCATTCTGCAGTAATCCAGTTACTCTTAATGAAGAAAACATTTCTTAGATGCGCTCCTCAGCACTAGAATGTAATTTATAATTTTAAGACTCTCTTTCCAAATCAGAGGGAAACAGGACCTAAAGTGGAAGTATTGCAAAGAGTAAGATATGGTAGGGATAGCCTACACACAAATAGGGAAAAAGAAAAACAAAACCAATCCCAATATGATATTTTACCAAGTGCTATTGGTAAATGTGAATGTAATCCACAAAACTGGAAATGCTTTATCTCACCAAAATAAGGGATCTGATTAGATGCCTTGTAAGATCACTTCTAGCCTAAAACTGCTAGGAGTCAACAAGTCTAACTCAACAGATATAAAGGATTTGGAACTATTGTTACTAATATATTAGGTAAATAATATTAAGACTATAGCAGAAACAAAGGGTAAATTAGTGATTCTTAGAATACTAGATTCATTTGAAGATAACAAAAATGTAGAAATACTTAAAAATTTGAGACATCTGAATTGAGGACAATGAAAATCATTGTAATTTTTAATGCCTTGAGAAAAATAATTTTATACTTTAAAATTATATGAATTCTGCCAAATATACAGAGTACTTAATGATTTTATTTCATTCGCAGTAGTAAACACTAGTAACATGAAAATAGTTTAACTCTGATTTTAACCAGGCTAGGAATGGGTTTGTGACGAAGTCTCCTTTGTATAAATGGGGGAATTCCACAGTATCAAGACCTTAGTACCATGGCTACTGAATTCCACTTTGGAGGAGGACCAAGAAGGCTAGACCTTCCCTATTTTTTTTTTTTTTTCCCTCTTAGAGTAAAGAAGTCTTCAAGTTGCCCCAAATGAAGTCATTGATAATAAGTTCCAGCATATAGTTAGGCTCCCTAACCAAGTCCAAAGCTGCATGAGCCATAATGCAGACTCTTTCAAATCCTAATTCCTGTAGGAAAAAAAATGAGAGGTTGTATCTCTTCTCCCCCAAATCATTAGAGAACTTTTTGAAGGGGTTCTCCCATTGCTAGAATGACCATGGACGGGGACTCCTGTCATGATGTCACAATACTCATTTGACCACTGATTCTGAAGAGTCAGAAGTAATCTCATAATGATTCTTTTCACCTACTGTTAACGTCCATTAACAGATTTGACAACTTAAATTCATAAATGACTGTGATCCTTAACATCCATAATTTTAATATGAATCTAAACATAGAGAGCATATTCTTAAAAGCATTAATAATGCTTTTATGTTTTCTCTCCTCTTTCTTACACTTTCACATTGTAAGATATGGCACTGAGAATTCTTTCATTTTTTGAACGTAGTCAATGTCGTACTCCGAGGATGATGAAGTTCTGAGAGCTCCTTAATAATTTATAGATAAGAAAGTAAACTTAAATTACCACATAAATTGATATATTTGGCATCCAACAATCAGTACAATTAAAATCTGTGAAAAATTTTTTAATAATTTTATTTTTTTAAAGAAATCCCTACACCCAATGTGAGGCTTGAACTCACCACCCCGAGATCAAGAGTCACATGCTCCACCGACTGAGCCAGGCAGGTGCCCCAAAGCTTGTGAAAATTCTTGTTTAACAAGGGGGGACAATGGTACCAAAGAGCTTTAATAAAACTGAAATTATCCATGAATTTCAAAGGACTTATCCTTTTAGGCCACTAAAATAGTCTCCCAGGTTATCTTCTATTTCAGAAAAATAAAGAAAAATAGAAAACTAAAAATACCCAATGGCAATTAGCTTCCACATCACTGGAATGTGTGTTTAATAGCTTCCAGCTTGCATAAAATCATACCTAGGAGCTAAGAGAACTGTTCCAAATTCCCATCAAAATAATTGATGAGAGAATGTTCTCTGAAAATGCTGTTTCCTTCATTAGGAGGCAATACGGAGTCTTGGAAAGATGGAGGAAGGCCTTGTGTTGAAATACTGCCTCCAATCACTTACTAGCTTTGTGACCCTGAAAAAGTTTCTTAAACTTCTGATAGATATTAAGTAAAATCTATTCCACATACTTGATGTAAGATTAAGAAAAAACGTGACAGTTACTTTTCCTTTTTCTCCAGAAGAACCCATTTTAGTCTAGCTCATTTGCTCAGGCTAAGCTTACAGGTCCTGTTGCTGTATTACTTAATATTGTTTTTTAGTTCTATGATCAGAGACAACCCTATTAAATTCAGCTATCAGTATATGATTTTATGTTACAGATGGGACTGGTGAGCTTCTGGAATGTGTGATGCCTACATCATAACTGGAGAGGGGATAAGCGTCCCTCAAAATGGATGCCACAAGGAAGGTAAGTGCAGTGTAACCGAATTCAAATGCCTCTTGAGCCTTTTCTCAGCTCAGTCCAAGAAGTTACTGGTAACCACACAGTACAGCATCCAAGAAAGAAGAAGCGCGTTCGTGGAAGTAGAAAACAGATGAAATAAAGCTGAAAGCATTTTAAATAAAAGGTTTACAGAAAACAGTAAGAATTCCAGAAAAACTCTGCCCTGTTGGTTTTCCCCCAAATAATTATATAATTAAATCATCAAACTTATTAAAAATTTTTGCTGTGTGCAGAAAACGAAAGTTGGCATTAATTTTCCCATATCCACAACTTTGAAGTAAACTGAAGTTTTAACAAATCTAAACTATACGTTGTTGTACGATGTATTTCTAAATCCTTGGCACTGCTTACTGCAATACTAGACTAACTTTACAGATGAAGCTGAAGCCTAGTAACTTTATCAGTGCCACATGAAGGCACAATAGACAAGGAAAAATCACTGTAGATGCCTATTGTAAATCATCTTGGTTCACTGGGCTCTCCCCGGGTAAGGTAGGGACCTTAGCTTCCGCGGCTAAAACCAGTCTGGTAACTGCAGCATATCACACAATGAGTGATTTGCCAGGTATCTATTCCATTCTAGAGGAAGGCTGTCAAACCTAAAAAGCAAAGAGAAGAAATTGCTTCCTTACACTCGGCGCCAAAGGACAGAGCAGGAGGGCAGGCACTAACAGTGTTTAAGAAAAACGAGGCCTACATCCCAGGGACCAGATCTATGTGGCAAAGGCTTCGAGAATTAGTGAGAGAAGAGGAGAACAGACTAAAGGGAGTCAGGTTCGTAAAAGTTTACCTTTCAGGGCCAGCAGGTGCTCCTGTTTGGGGGGATTCACTTCCATTTTGACCGGCACTCTCGACCCACTGCCTACGGCAGCTGAAGAGGTTCAATGCAGCCCGGAAGAAAAAAGAAAAGCGGACGTTCGGGAAGATCAAATCACTCCCAACAGGCTCTCTGCGCTGGTGATGCCGTAAATTCTCTTCTTAGCACCGTCCTTTACGGACTCAACGGCTTCTTCTTACCAAAGCCATCTCTTGCTTCTTAGAGACCTATACATAACATACTTCCCTATTTTCAAGCCACAGTCACACATCATGACTTCAAGAAACCACTCCTCGGTGACAATACGTAGCTTCCCAGATCCGTACAATGCGGAGTAAAAGAAACGGATTTTGCATGCTGGGATTTGTAGTTTAAACAAAACCGCATTGCATGCAGGGAGATGTAGTCCCCCTTTGCTCCCACGTCTATTCGGCAATTAGGAAGAGATCGTTACTGAAGCGGGAGTTTCACCCCGAAAATTTACTTCTTGCTTTAGCCCTTCTTTTTTCTTTTAATTTTGTTCCTGCCCTCAGTTGCAGACTCCCGGATAATACCACTATAAATAGCAAAGCGCTCATATATACAAGGCTGTGTAGCCAAAGAGCTAGTGACTGGCAGGAGGAGGAGCCCAGAGGTCAACCCAGCGGCGCTCCGCATCTTACTGCGCCTGTGCGCCGGCGGCGAACGCGGAGCGCTCTGGGTAGGTGGCTCGACCCCGCCCCTCAGCTGAAGGCCGTGACGGCTCTTTCTGCGGCACCGCTCCTCGTAGGATGGCAACCCTGATTGTAAACAAGCCTGGAGCGGGACTAGACAGTGGCCGTCAGGGCAGCCGAGGGACGGCCGTAGTGAAGGTGAGGGACATTGCGTGATCTGTTCTCCACCATCGGCCTCCCTTCGGTTCATCCCTGAGCTCTGGCGGCCGCGCCCGGGCCGTCTTCTTTGGGCCTTTGCGCCCCTCTCGGCTTTACAAGCCGTGCCATCCCCTCCGCGATTTTTATCTCTTCGGGCTTGGAGTTGCTTCGTCTTCCGCTCATACCAGTCCTCTACTTGGCCGATGGGGACATTTGTGAAAAGAGCTTATGGGCCTGTGAGACTGACTTTGACCGGTCTTTGCTTAGGTCTTCTCCTTTTTGTTAAGCTTAACAGGCATTAAGTTTATTTTTTATTCAATTGAGCCATTGTTATCGCAAGGTATTATGTTAAGTATTTTACCTCTTTGATACCTACTTATGAGGTATATGATAATTACCATTTGACAGGTGAAGAAACTCAGGTTTACGTTAACACAGTGTGTCATGGATCCAGGGTTGACTGCCTTTAAAATCTGGTTTTCATTATTGCACTACTTCTATAACCAGACATGTAGTAATGGCTGATCTGCCCCCTCCTCTTTTATTAGTATAGTCTGTCAACACTTTTGAGAAGTGTCCCTGCAGCAGCATGGCTGAACATTAACGTTAGGATATACGAATTGCCCTATGCTTCAGGTTTGAAATTCTACCATGCTTAAATGCTTCAAAATGTATTTACTAACAAATCAATTGAAATATGTGGGATTCACATTTCCCTTCCACTATATACATATGGAAGATCTGCAAGGGAGAACTGATCTCATCGGTTTGTAGAATAACTTTCAGGATTGTTGTAATCTGAGTTATGGGTAATTCTCATTACTGGCTACATATTTAGAGTAACTGAGGACTTAAAAAAAAAAAAACCCTACTGATAACGTTCCTTCTCCCCAAGTTCTGATTAACTTGACATCACTATATTTTTTAAACATTCCCAGAAGTGATTTTAATGTGCAACCAAGGTTGAGAACCACTATACCAGATAATATCTGAAGTTATTTTAAGATCTTGGGTAATAGGCACCTGTGATTTTTCACTTAGTGTTGGTTTTATATGACAACAAATCCTACATTTCTGCTCACAGGTATATTATCAATTATTGATGGCTTTTGATTCATCTGGCCTTTTTATATTGAAGTTATTCTGAAGGTACACAGCATATCTGAGATAAAGAGGAGCCCTGTTATTAGGCATGTTACATGGTTGAGGTTTTATTTATTAAATTGTGCTTTACCTAAGTAGAGAATACCTAAAGATTATTTTGTGATTTAGATTGAATCAAGAAGTTGTTATTAGAATGGATATTATTGCTGTATCTACTTTTGTTACCCTAGTTGTCTTAAAATCTCAAAAAATATACAAAAGCCTTGTATTACTCAAATTTGTTACAGCACAGAGTTTGATATTTAGAGGTTCACTTTGTTTTTATCTTCACATGTAAAATGTGCCTCAGTTGTGCAGTAGGGTAGTCCTTTTTGGCAAGATCCTTATGCCATAATTTGTAAGGAGGATGATGGCATAAATTAAAAAAACAACTCTGTCATTTTCATAGATGAAAGCAGAAATTATTCATTGGAGGGTGAAAGTTGAAGTATATAATGCTAAAAGGTAAAATAATGAACAAGTTGATAATGAGGGTTTTTTCATTAGAAAACTCAAAGTCAAAAATCTGATATTATGAAATTATTTATGTTCAAAAAAGTCAGAAAGGTACACCTGGGTGGCTCAGTTGGTTAAGCGTCTGCCTTTGGCTCAGGTCATGATCCCAGGGTCCTGGGATCGAGCCCCGCATGGGGCTCTCTGCTCAGCGGGGAGCCTGCTTCTCCCTCTTCCTCTGCCTGCCGCTCCCCCTACTTGTGCGTGAGCTCTCTCTCTCTCTCTGACTAATAAATAAAATCTTAAAAAAAAAAGAGTCAGAAAAAAAAAGAATCAGGAAAGTTTCTTTTGAAGAGTGAGTCTTCTTAGTCCATTTAAAATATGGTCTGGTTAGGGTGCCTGGCTGTCTCTGTTGGAGGAGTGCGCTACTCTTGATTTCAGGGTCGTGAGTTTGAGCCCCATGTTGGGGGTAGAGATTACTAAAAAAATAAATTAAAAACTTAAATAAAATATGGTCTGGTTTATTAAAATTTGGTTTACATGTAATAAATTTGAAGCTCTCTTTGGCATATTTGTGAAGTTGATAAAATTAAGAGCTTTTTTCTTATTTAGGGTTTAATTCCTTGTGCTGTTAGCCACAGTTTGTGTTCATAAATACTGAAGAAAGAATTTCTTACTCTTTTGTTTACGGAGTTGATACGAAATAGTCTAGTAAGTTTATTTTTGGACCCGTGTTTAGTTTATAATAATCTGTGGTATGTTATTAGTGCTTTTTGAAAAAACCTGTAGTAGCAACTTAAGTTCTTTTATCTTGTGTAATTATGGGGTCAGAGGTAAAAGATATGAATGGACTGAAATTTAATTTGATTGTTTGGAGTTTAGGGTCATAATTATGGTGTTACAGAAATGAGGACATTATAAGAATGTTGCATTTATTTTATATCTAATTCTGTTATATCTTTTCTGTATTGAATGAATCTGATATTTAAGTGAGACCATTTAAATGAAACTTCTGTCCTGCCTTTTTTAAAAATGTAGGATACATTTAAGTGTTTGTGTATAATACAATTTATGTGTAACTTTTCCCATCTATTTTCCTTCCTCATAGGGAGCCACTATTCCAGTGTAATCAGTTTCCTGTGTATCCTGCTAGAAAGATAGTATGCCTGTATAAAAATATACATACAAATGTATGTTCTCTTTCCCCAGTTTTATGCAAAAGCTAAATATTCTATGTATTTTTCACTTTGCTTTATTCATATGAAATCATTCTGTATGTGTACATAAGAAACTTCCTTTTTCTCAACAAACCACATGGTTTTGCAGTACATGAGTATATTATAGTTTATTTCCCAGTCTATATTGCTATCTATTTATTTTGTTTCCAATCATTTGCAAGTGCAAATGGTGCTGTAAGGAATAACATAGAGATCTTGACACACATGTGTGATATATTTGTCAGATAAATTCCTGGAAATAGAATTACTAAGCTATGTAAACTCTTGATAGGTATTGTCAAATTGCCTTTCATAAAGCCTATGTTAGTCATTAAATATTTCACAGCAGTCAGCAAGTATAAGAATATCTGTTTTCCCACATCTTCACCAACATAAAGGGTTACACAAAGGGTTATCAACCTGTTTGATCTAATCTGAAAAATGTATATTGGTTTAGGTTTAAGTGCATTTCAAAGTGTTTTGAGTGAGATTGAACATCTTTTCAGATACTTAAGGAGCTGTTTTTATGTCTTTTCTTGTGAGTTGTGTGTTACATTTAAGCCTCTTTTGAACCATACTGGGATGCAAGCCAATTATGAATTATCAATTTACAGTGAAAGATGTTTGTATTTCATGCACTAAGTCCAAATTAATTACAGAGTTAGTATTAAATTTTTAATGGATTAAGTCTGATTTCCACTGTGGATTTTCTGTTTTTTACATTGCATGTGAATTTGTTGGGGGATGGTGGTTGGGCTGAACTGTTTTTAATTTTTAATCTTGTCAGACTTTATTTATATAAGCACACTAGTACTGGGTTGTTTGTAATGCCCTGTTTCTGAGGGCTTTTTGATCTAAGAGGGAAAGACAGGCTGGAAGCCAATAATGGAATTAACACGTTTAGGGTGTTAAGATGAACACTTATCCGTGCATGATGGCCCAAAGGGTAGTGTGGTCATTTCAGTTGGAATGAGCTGTGGGTACACTGGGAGATACGGTTGTTTAGAAATTTGTTTATTAATGTTAAAAAAAGAATCTACTAGGAAAATGTCTGTTTAGCTATTTCCTCAGCATTAGCATAAAAAAGAGGCAACAAACAGTTTGTCATGTTCTGGGAACTACAAACTGTTTGATATAGTTTGAGAATAGAGTCTAAAGGGGGTGGCAGGGAAGCAGTGGGATGGAGGCCAGATTGTAGCAGGTCATGGATGGCCAACATAGTTAGTGATATAATTGAACAGTTCAGTGTGGGTATTTTTAAAAAATAAATTAAAATTGTATGACACTTTGAATATATTGGCAGATAAAGGTACCAACAGTGCTTCATTGGTAAAAATATAGTTTGTTGACTAATTATAAAACAATTTCATGGGCTTGGGAATCAGAATATGCTGAT